ATAATAATATATATATAATTAGAGCAGAGATATGAGAGCCTGACCTACTAAAAATACCTTTGGGCCATCATCCAGATATCCATCTATCTATCTATCTATCTATCTATCTATCATCTATCTATCTTATGCATTTGCATACCAATGACCTATTTTGTTTATCCTGGACTATTTTGTATGATTTTCTACTTAAGAAAAAATTGTGTATTGAAGTAGTACTTTCCTAGTTACTGAGAGCCTTATTGTTTTTCCTGCCTCTTAAATTTTACATCTCAAATAAATAATGTCTTACTTGTCTCATCCTAATTTTAGCGCTGAAGACAAATATGGAAAGAGACACAGATGGGTGTGGTGGCACATGCATATAATCCCAGCATTCTGGGGGTATTAGGTAGGAGGATCTAGCCTGGGCAAAGATACCTTACCTGTAAATAAAATGTTATTTAAAAACTAGGGATATAGTTCAATTTAAAAGCCCTTAGTTCAATCTCTAGTGCTGACAGGGGTGTGGGGGGGGAGAAAGAAAGTAAGAAAGAAAGAGAAAGAAAGAATAAATGAAAGAAAAAAGAAAGAAAGGGAAGGAGAGAGAAAGGCAGGCTGATGAGGTCTAAAACGCTGATACGAACACATAAAGATTGTATTTCTAGGAAGAAATGAAATCACACACTAGTATCATCAACATCCAAAGTTAAATGAAGTTAATAAACACATTTTAGGACATAATTTACATTATACAACCATCCAAATTGTTGATTTATTTGTTGTTTTTGATGTTACTTTTCAATATGTATAGATTCTTGAGTACAGTAGTTAATTATCACTAAGGAGGCCAAATTCAAGATACATTGAACTGAAGCAACACAAAGTTAAAGATTTTCCTAAATGTTTAACAGCCTCTTTAATTTTCTGGGCATGAACAAGCTCAATACAGCCTATTTGCAGGTTTGCTAAAATCTTGGAAAGATATAATGGTGAAAAATAGATCAAAACTTAATCGGCACGGAATTAGTTTTACATTCACTAATTGTAATCACTGACATTAATAAAAGCCCAAATTCTCTCTTATAAGCTCAATTGAAAGCCACTTATTTTTAACATGTTAAGCATAACTGATCAGAACATATTAACTATAATTAGTTTGAACAGAAAACATTTCTTGTCTGAATTCATATTTTGCAATCATTATGTTTTTTATTCTAAAATGAATCTATGAGCATTTTACCTCAGCTTTAATGAGGAGCCAGCAGTTTAATTGTTCATTACATTTCCTCAAAGTCCAAGAATCAGAGGAGAGGAATAGTAGTCACACTCTTTTTATTCAATTTAACCTGATGATCTAGTGCATTATTCCAGGCTAGGGGTCAGCTGATTTTCTGTAAAGGATGGGAGAATAAATTCTTCAGACTGTGTGGGCTACAGCAGCTCTCTGTTCCATTCACTCACACTGCCATTGTAGTTAGAAAGCTACTGATTTCTGTAAACAAATAAATGTGGCTGCATTCTAGCAAAACTTTCTGACTTTCACAAAATTTCTATTGCATATAATTTTTCAAAGTCATGAAACAGTATCTATCTTTTTATTTTTCCTACCTTAAAAATACAATAACAGGGTTACTTTTAAATCTAAAATAGATTTTAAGCCTGATTTTGCCTATGGGCATAGTTGCGGATTTTTATTCCAGGGCCCTTATGGCAGCTTAGATTTAAAATCTCAGAAAGACCTAGTGTTTTCTTTTCACAGGTCTAGTAATATATAGATATGCTCCTGTAAAACATTATCCCTGTTTTGGGTCATTTCTAGACAAAGATACTTGCCCATCAGTAATGCTCAATCTTGTATTTGAACAAATTAAAGGGATCTGTTATAGTTGTCATTCCACACGAATAATTAAGTTTTCTGATGAGTGGACCTTTAAAAGAAAAATCCCCCATTGATCCTATCTCTCAGTTTCATTCGTTCTGTTTTCTGCGTTGCTACCTTTTCCATTTTAATCCAGTTCTTCATTAGTACTTCTAAATAATCAGCAGTATTCAAATTCCACAAGACGTCTTCCAGATAGCTGCTGTTCTAGAGATTCGAGCCTTATCAACAGAATCCATCCTAGAGGTTTTCCCAGAGTAACCCATGCATAGATGGCAGAAGAACAGTGTCCTTAGGTGGGACATCATCATAACAGCATCTGTGCCACATCAGCATATCCAGGCTCCACTGCTACTCAGGCTGTCCATGGCCAGTGGCAAATGTCTAGCATCTACTGGCAGTGTGATAATCAGTGCCCTGCTCTGCAGCTGATGAAAAGTTCCTAGAGAAGAAAAAGGAAAAGGTCAGAAGTCTGAGAAGACCACCAATTCTGCCCACTTAGGCTGACTCAGAGAACGCCCTACAGGGAGTGGAAGGCAAAGGAGCTGAAGGATGAAGCCTTCTGCTTTACTTTGGGTGCATTTCAGCTTATCTGCAAATGCAGACAAATATACGCCCTGTTTTGCTCCCATTTACTTTTTCACTGCTTAGAAAACCCTCTTCCTACATTTGATAGAAAAATAAATCAGAGCACTCGGCCTGACGAAAGATAATAGTATCAGGGGCAAGCTGTATTTTACTTTGGGTTTTGATGCCTGGAGTCACTGCGGTGGCTTTTATGTGCTCATAACTCTGGAGCCAAGGTCTTTGACTATTCAAACCATCCTCCTTCCTGTCAAGTTAAGACTGGGACAAAATACTTGTAATCCTAACGTGTCAGCCAGATTCAAACCATCACAAACCAATCACACATGGCTTCTCCCATCAGCCCAGCAATTGGGATGATTTTTCCATAATACAACGAACATTTAGGTACTTTTCAAAGAAAACTCACCAGCCAGTATATCTCTTTTCTAACCAGAATGTTGCTGAGGTCATCTGCAGTGGGTGCAAACACGTCCTTTAAGGAGAAGGGTTTTTAGACCAGAAGCATTAGTTATGGAGGTTGTCATTGTTGTTGTTCCTCCCAAGGAAGAGAATAAAAGTGTAATCACACTAGGTCATGTGTAAATTTATGCTGTTTTTACTGGCTCTTAACCCTTTTCCTTCCAGGAATTGTTAAGCTCCTTTGCAGTCATATATCAGCACTGGGTATGTTCTCACCAAGCATGACCGTTTGACGGTAAGGCCCCTCAATAGACCAACAGAATAGAAGTCGGGTCATGTAACTGATTCCCTGGAAATTACGTAAGAGAAATAAATACCCTGGTATTTGCACAAAGGAAATTATGAAATTCTCCTCCAACATGAATTCATAGACTCTTAAATTCTCCTGTGAGAAAAACATTTTCTTGGTCTCAAGGGGTCTTCAGTGCAGTTTGGAACAAAACCTTTTGTAGAGAAGATCTCCGATTCCTTGATTGCTTGAAACAGGCTAGGGTTGAGGCTGGCTTTGGATGAAGACTGGGAAGAGGGTCAGGAGACAGGACAAAGCTCCATGCATCCGTCTATGCATACGTTTCTTTCTTCCCTTTTTTGGCTGTATTTGATGGCTGATACGTCAACTTACAGAAAATTAGTTTGTGTTATGAAGAAATAATTCCAACTGCATTTCAGTGTTTTTCTTTTCCTTTTCTTCTTTCTTTTCCAGATTGGAGTATTTCATCTCATGGAGCATGGCTTTATTTTATGGTATTAAGTGTGCCTGGTACTTTTCTGGCACATTCCTTTGGTCCATGATGCTTTTGAATGGAGCTTGTGAAGCTGGAATCACACAGGTCTTGAGCTGCATGTCTAGAGATAAATATAGTGCAAAATTATGATAGAACTCTGCCTGGATCACCAGCAATGTTTGTATCCTTTCATAGGACTTGAAATAATATGGACCATGGAGAAGGAAAGTGAAAATATAAGCAATGAATGCATGTGCAAAGAAGACAGAAGACAGTAAAAACTAATATTTGTGCTTAATTTACTTAAAGAAAATCAGTTTCATCCTGAGCACGTGATTAATGAGATTTGCATTAATTTCCACTGTATTGCCTGGATTTCAAAGCTAGGGGTGCTGGGGATTTAGCTCAGCGGCAAAAGCGCCTGCCTGGCAAGCGCAAGGTCGTGAGTTCGGTTCCCGGTACCGGAGAAAAACCAAAAAAAAAAA